ACTTTTTGTTGCTTCGCCTCTTTTTGATCTCAATGCCTTGCCATATGATAAATATCTTATCAACCTCGTTTGCTCGGTCCGTACCGTAAGTTATGGATCCTTGTTTTTTCCACTTTTATATGGCCCGCGCACTACGTGCTTGGGCCATAAGGCAGTGGAAAAAACTCGGTCCATAACTTACGGTACGGACCTCGCACTCGCTTAATAAGAGCTATATATTCCTAGCATTAAATTTGTTTCTCAATTGATTGATGTATAATACAGGGCCTAAAGACAATGTCTGGTCATAGGACAATATCTGGTCATCAGACATTGTCCAGCCAGAATTACAACTTGTCCAGTCAGATCTTTGCCTTGCTGTTCATTTTGACCAGTAATGGAAGTAAGCCAGGAATGAGGTTATGACTAAGCTACAACTGGTTTTGTCAGTCATCACATGACTGGCAACTGACCAGCCATTATTTTTAGCCCTTTGAAATTATCATGCTAAAGAATGACTGGCTAAAAATTAATGGGAAGCATGGGTGGCATGGTGGCAAGAGCACTCGCCTCTCACCAATGCGAGCTGAAGCGTCGTATGTGAGTAGAGTTGTTTGTTGGTTCTCTCCTGTGTTGTCTATGTGAGTAGAGTTGTTTGTTGGTTCTCTCCTATGTTGTATGTGAGTAGAGTTGTTTGTTGGTTCTCTCCTATGTTGTACGTGAGTAGAGTTGTTTGTTGGTTCTCTCCTGTGCTTCAAGGTTTTTTTCTGGGTTCTCTGGCTTTCCTCCCTTCGCAAAAATCAACTTCTTTTGTACATTAAACTGACATAATTATTTCAATGCAAAACTGGCTGGTTTTACTAAATAAGGTGTATATAAAAGCTAATTTGGCAGCGAAATGCCCATGCATCATCCTCATCCTCATCCTCATTATGTTAATTTATTTAACAAAAAGACACTCTTTCTGTGCTCCATTCAGTAATAAAGCATGCAGGAAGTTGGGTAAGCTGTAGGCAAGTGCTTCTCATACTTGTTGAGTGATTACAACACTTCCACACACAAGTGCTTTATTGCTGAACAGCCCGTGGAAAAAGCTGTTTTATTCATTTTATTACATATAGTTGCATATTTCATTTTGGTATTGAAATTATTTATGCAAAAGGAAAAAGGGTCACAGGATCTAGCAGCACTTCGTGCACACGCAGATGGCATCAGCATTGTGCTCTGTTCACTAATAAAGCACAGTTTTTGACCAATCAGTGYGTGCATACTATCCTAACTATATAATAATAATTATAATTATTCAAATTTTTATCATTATACATACTGCATCTGTCCTAATTTATGTTTATTTTATAGATTTTATATGATTTTATTGTTATTTGAAGGCACCGCTTGTTTACACTCTTCCATCTCCATACAAAGAAGAAATAATTGGTCTGAGTAAAGCTTCAGGGATCCCTATAGGTAAAGAATGGGCAGACTTAGGGGGCGGATGGGACTGTTAAACTCATTATTTTCAATATTGATATACATATACATGTACATATATGTGAAGTGAATAATTGAATGGTAAGATATTTTCATATTTGAATGATTCATCTTGAAGATGTCAAGTTCCAATATGTTAATGAGTGTGATATATATTTTGAGTTAAGCAGGCAATTTGAGGCTTTGAAGTTGGGATTATTTTTTTCTTTAACTTTTGTGTGCAAATTATCCCTAATATGCAGGAAATAGTATTTCATAGTTTAAGAATTTCCTTGAAAGCATTTCCCCAGGCCAACTCTCGTTTGGTTTTGCATCGTCAACAGTGCCATTTGGTTTATTGAGTTGCATAATTATCAAAATCAAAGTCATTCATGTTGTTTTTGATCCACAGTAATTCCCATTTTTCCTTTGACAGGTGAAGTGTTGCTCTACAATATTTTCTATGAGATTTTCACAGTGTGTACTTCTATTGTTGCCCAAGACAAGCAAGGTAGGAAACTACTAGACATTAATTCAAATATCCATATCTATATTATAGTATAGTTTTTAAATCTATACTAGTCGGTATAATCAGATTTTAACATTGAGAGGTTTTGTCAATATATCATTATTTTTTTCATAGCAACCTTGCTATGATACTGTAGCAAAAAAATTTTCCTGCATAATAATAAAACAAAATAAACAGCTTTTTCTAAATATATTAGTAATTTACTCAAAAGCACTCAACCATCCAGSTGATCTTGAAAAAATGTTAGCCAATCAGAATGGAGAAAATTTTTTTTCACTTTTCCTCTTGAAATCGCTGATTTCCAGGTGCTTAAATGAAAAAAAAAAAAAAAATCAAATGTTAATATGTGCTGAATCTTGTAAGAGCATGCATTGAAACCTTGTAGAAAGAATGCTCCTAATGAAGGTTTATTGTTATTATTGAATAATAGAGTGCTCGCACTAAACCTGTGAAACAAATACTAATTTTTAGTATTAAATAGTGATAATCAAACAATAGAAACAAAGGATTCTGTATTAATCATATCCTTTTTGTAATCACTACCAAATCCTGCAATCTGATTGGTTCAAAGGAGTGTTATATTGATTTCCAAATTACTACTAATTAGTACTAAATATTATTCACAGGTTTAGTGTGTGCGCTCTAGTGACATAACAATTTAGAAGTCATTACATTGTTACCGCAATGGAGGTCATGTTTTTATTTTTCACTGGTCAATTTTCATGAGGCTTCTCAACACCTCAGTTTTGCAGTGACAACATATATGCACTATTTCATATCAGCTTGATCATATTATTGGGAGAAGCACTTACCATTCTCTCCACACTTTAAATTTCTTAATTATGTAGTTCTTTTGTCACTCTGAATACTGTATTACTCAGATCTATGTATTTCATGATGTATTTAATTCAAATTAATTAATTATAACGAGTTAATGTACTTTTTTCTTTCAAAAAGGGAAACTGTATCATGCCAGAAATCTAGATTTTGGATTATTTCTAGGGTATGTGAGACATTGTTATTTCCGATTAGTAAGTTGCTGCCTATATACAGTATGTTGCTTTACACTTTGTTTGCTTCTAAACTACTTAATTTCTAAAGAAACTGCCTAAACTGCCAGACGACATATTTCTAAGGTTCCACCTACTTCCCATCTCTCGATCAAGACAAAACAAAAAACATGCTTAATGATTCACCCCTCAAATACCCCTCAAATATCATATGTCTGTCCATCACAGCCAGCTGAGTTGACCATCAGAACAAACTCAAGGTCAACCAATCAGAATTGAGATAATGTGACATCATACAGTGAACTCTCGCCTTGCGGACACCCCGATATTACGGACACCTTGCTATTACGGACAGGAGAAAAATCCCCGACAAAAATACTGACAAAGAAATGAGCGTAAAAAAACTCTAGCTATTGTGGATGCTCGCCATTATGGACATGAAGTGATGGTCCCAAGGGTGTCCGCGGTAACGAGAGTTGACTGTACTGTATTTTGATTAGCATTTCCCATGATTCTGCCAAGATAAACCTATGGAATATGAATTCTTCATTCTTTAAGTTGATCGTAAATACTACATGTTCTAGTTGAACTCTTGGTGGAATTCTAGTTCATTCAATGCGAGAAATCTAAATTGTACTTGGCCCCTGCTAGGAAAATGCTAACCAAAAATAGTTGATGCATAATCCCTTTTGCAAATGCAGTCAACTCAGCTGGAAGATATTCCTTATTTTATACCGTCTACTATTGAATCATGCAGTAATAAAAAGTTTTCATATGAAGAATTTAATATCTGAATAGTTAAATTAATATTTGGTAAGCATTTGTATTTATTTGTTGATTTGCTGCAGATGGGATAATAAAACAGATACATGGTCACTGAGTGAAGTTCTTCGTCCTTTAGTAGTCCAGTTAGATTATAGGGTAGGTTAATTCACTGAGTTATTGATATTTTATACTTGTACACTCAATTGCAAAATCATTGCAAAATCATTGCAAGATGCAAAACATACTGTAGAACATAGAAGATGAAACTGGAATGGCAATTGGTAGTTTCTTCTAACTTGGCAACTGTTAAAAATCAAAGCAAAACAGCTTATATTAGCTGCATTAGGGCAAATAAATAAATAATAATATAAATCTGTTATTTCCAAGAATGGTCTCAACTTTAATCTATGTTTCTATGTTTTGAAACTGACTCACAATGATCTTGCAATTAGTATATGTAATAGGACTCCATGCTTCTTGGACGAGGAAAATTCCGAGGACTGGCCGAGTCAGAGGAATTTTTCGAGTCTAATTATTTCTTGATTGGGGAGCATGAAATCCCATTACCTATTAATTATATAGCTGCCTAATTAATCCCATATCAACAAGACCTGTCCAATTAAGAAAATAATTGGACAGTTACCTATATGGGATTAATGAGAAGCTGTATAATGATATATATAATTATGATACATATTAATTAGAAAGCTGGTGATTTTTCGTATATAAATTAAAAACATAATCTATCAAATGGTTTTTTGTGAACGACTTTAATGAATAATATTATTTGTTGTCCATTTGTTGTTTACAGAGAGGTGGAAAGACTTTGTATAAGACTGTAACCTTTGCTGGATATGTTGGAGTAATAACAGGTTTGAAACCAGTAAGTCAAAAATCATTTGAATGAGCATTTGAAGTTATTCTAGGAAAGTCATCCATTAAAGCCTGGTCCTCACTAGTGCATAGACACATGCATAAGCATAAGAACGTAAGTCCTCACTGGGAAGTGCAGTGACATAAGCATAAGCATATTTTGATTCTTATACTTTTGCTTAATATGCTCTTATCTTTAGGCAAAACAAATAAATAAGTGTGTTTCCTGTTGCATGACCGACCCTAATTTTCTTGTCGATTTTTGCCGACCCTAATATTTTTTTCATTCCCAAATGCACCACAGGGTTCCCAGTAAGCTCATTTCCACTGTTGTATCAGTAAAAAAAATCTGACCTACCGACCCCAATTATTTTTCTCATGCAACAGGAAACACACTAATCTTATTTTTTTTGTTTGGCCTTATGTTGCTAGTGGGGAACAGCCGTAACTGCTGTGTCATCTTATCAAAATAGCTATTCATTAAATTTGAACAAACAGTTACTCAAAGACAATTGCTGTTCTTGCTGTGTATATCCAATTCTGAATGCATGCAGGAGGTTGCTTCAGCACAAAAGAAGCACAAGAGTTGCTTCTTGACTGCTTAAGCAACATACTGCATGCATCCATAATTGGATATATTCCCAGCTAATTAGCATTGACAATTATGTAATGGGTTTTATGACATGCCTGCTTGTTTCAGGCAGATGGACTAATAGCTTTTCATCAATTTATGCACACACAGAAAATGAGGTGAAAAAATTTAAATTTTCGTTCAACATTGTCACAAAAAATATTTTCTATCAGAAACTTACAACCATAACTTATCCAAAATGTTTTAAAAAGTGCTTTTTGTTCTGAAAGACAGTTTTTATGTTCTGATGCATCAAAGGAACAGTTGAAAAAGAGTTTTGAAGTATCCGAGAAAGCATAAACGACCCCTGGAGTATGTGCAAGTGCACAATCGATTTCTTGTTCTTAGATATCCAATGAATCAGAACTGCAGTTTACACCATTCTTTTCCACTTTTTGTGTTTCAGGGTGTTCTTACCTTGACTCTTAATGAAAGATTCAACATCAATGGTGGTTATATTGGTAGGTACATTGTAGTATTGCCACTCACTTAATAGTTTCTTATATTTTGGAGACAAGAGTACAGAATATATTTTCTCCCAACTAGCCGTCAATATTTCGGGGTATTGTCATCTCAAAATCGTAATTGTTTTATAATAACTAAAAAAATAGTCCCCTTCTCATTTGTCTGTGCCATCTTGAAAGGTATACTTTGCCTGTGCAATGTTAGAGACACCCAAACAATAATTGTTAAAGGTACTAAAAGAGGTCTCTATCTCTATCATTGGTTTGCCTTAGTCACTAATAACAACAACAACAATGATTTATTATCATCATCATCATGGGTGACATGTGGCAGTTGCCAAATTAGTACTGATAAACATATTATGGCTCTTTCTTTTTAATGTTTCTATAAGTTAGACTGCCATTGTACTGTGGTTATCTGAGGCATTTGCAAATACTTTTAGAGCAAAGGCAGCACCTTTAACTCAGATATTTTAGGACCCCAAGTGTTGGTTGGGCCACAAAGTCTTGAACACATGAACAGTGTCCAACCAACTGAGCCAAAAAGGAGATGTCACTCATTCAATTATTCAATATTTTGTTAATTTATTTATTTACAATCGTTTGAAGGTATGATAGAATGGATTCTTGGCAAGAGAAGTGCAAAGTGGACAAGTTTTATCACCCGAGATGTCTTGGAGCAGGCCAGCAGGTACATACATCTGGAATAATATACTTTCCTTTCTTTTTTTTATAGCTATGCATCAATAGCTTATAAGGCCGAACAACAGCTAACCAATAACTGTGGGCCTGAATACATTATACTACATTTTGCTAATTCCATAACTAGGTCACCCACCTCTCTATTAAGCCCCTCCGCCCTCCCCTCAAGCATGCCTGAAATAAATAAGCCTCCCGGGGCTTGATAGAGAATTTACAGTAGTAATACTGTAGTTTAAATGCGAATCCCCTTTATAGCCAGGCTTGGCAATAATGCCCTTATAACATCATGTATTTCGTAGTGTGTGAAGCCATTGTATTTCTTTATTGCTTTTAGCTATGCAGAAGCCCATGACATGCTGGCAAATACTGAAGTATTGGCACCAGTGTATTATATTCTGGGTGGTAACCAGTCTGGTCAGGTAAATAAGATATTTGATTAATTAAGCTTGAAGGATATCTGCAATAGTGTATCTTGTTAAAAACTATGGAAACCTAGTGGACGATTTCTTTTCATTTCCAGGATTCATTTTGACGCAGCTGCTTGTTTTAAGGGTTTTAGGTTCATGTGACCTTTTAGTACGAGTTGTCCATTAATGCAGTCACAAAAAGAATATAAAGTTTTGTCACTAAGACATTTCTGTGTTGATTTATGGGGAGTCAGAAACTTCCGTGTGTGGATTTGGATTCAATTTATTATATTCCAAGTTAGAGTTATTCAAAATATTCCAATAAGATGACTATATATTTCCTTTAGAACAATAATTGTAATTGTGTAAATATTTTATCCACAACACGCAAACATTGAAGTATCTCACATGATGGTCATTCTACTGATTCTGCTCCTGTTTATTAAGGAAAGTAAATCAGTCAGTCGTTTGGTCGGTCATTCGGTCAATGTTATCAGGATTTAATATGTTAAATGATTGGTCAATGTAGTCTGGTAACTGAGGACTTGTTATGATATCTACATATTTTACTCTAACAGGGTGTGGTGTTAACTCGCGATCGAACTAAGAACCTGAAGGAGAACAGGTACGTGAATGACTTTTGTATTCAAATGCTGCCGCAATTTTAGTACAAATACAGTCGCTCATATTGTTGCCACGGTGGCGGCAAACCAAAATGAAAAGGGAGAGGGGAGGGGAGGGGGGCTTTTTTTAGTTTAAAAACTAATCAAACAAGCTCAATGCAATAGTGGAATTGGAAACAGCCCTTAAAAAGTAGGGTGGGGGACTCTCTAGTTTTCCTGTCTCCGTAAAAGGAAAAGTTTTATGTTAGTTGCTCAATCTGCAAAAGGTTTATATATCACACCCAGAAATCCTGGGCTCATGAGGTGAATTGACGTTGTTTTTCAGTCTTGACCCTAAGAATGGCAAATGGTTTGTACTTGAAACCAACTATGATTTTTGGGAACCACCTTTGGTGTTTGACGACAGAAGGACTCCGGTATGTTATGTTTATCATCTCAGTTACACTATGTTAATGCTATACTAATTTTATGGTATATAATAATTAATAATAATTGCTAAAGTTTATAGCAGTACAGTATGATCGTTACACACGATTGCCGAGATGCATCGGCGCTTTTTTTGAAAATCGCAGGCTCAGACTTTAAAACGAGGCATTTTCGAGCAGTGTGATAAAAAAACATTGGAAACCATTGAGTTAAAGGCGAGTTCTARAACCCTTGGAGTAGAGACTTTGTCTGAAGCTAAATGAGCTATATTTTTTCCAAAAGTTTATTATCCTGCTCCCCGACTAAAAGAAACTTCAAAGTGTTCCTTCGTTAACATAATTTTCGGCTACAAAGTAAAATTAGTCCAAATTATTATTTCTTTCACCATTCTGTCCCCCTTAAAAACAAGAAGTGTCGTCATAGTGATATAGGGATGTATGTACATAGGTTTGGCTGGTGATCCACCTTTGCGGGCGATGGTAGTATCATTTACATTCCTGGAAAATGAAGTTGCAGTTTTTTCGTTTACTAAATATTGATCTGAACTAATGCTTGCTGGTTGAATAAATAATAAAGTCTTCGTTTAAAAAAGTGAACTTTCAGTCAGAGGCTAGTTTACAAAGTGCTTTCAAATTGTTTTACGTGGAGGTTTTGTTATTCTGTTAATAGGGAACGTATTGCATGCAACACGGTGGACAAAATGTAAGTATCGTAACTAAACCTTCAGCAACTTTTTTGAAACAAACTTTTTTTATGGGTGGCAGTGGTTTACCGCTCGCCTCTCACCACTGTGGTCCGGGTTCGAGCACTGGCTCAGACTGGATCATATGTGTCAGTGAGTTGAGTTTGTTTGTTGTGTTGTTCTCTCCCTTGCCACGAGGGCTTTCTTCGGGATCTCCGGTTTCCTCCCTCCGTAAAAAGCAACATGTGAGTTGAGTGTTGTATGTTGTAAATATAGAATGTAGTGGTAGTGCGTGTGGAGGGAACCTCACGGAAGAGCCCCGCGTGGGCAGTGGTGGTTGTAAAATATATATATATTTTTAAACAAATAGTTGAAATAGCTGTATACTAATAGGTAAATCATGTTATATAACAGGCATTGTCGATGAAGAGCCTCTACAACGTGCTTTCAACACAGCCAGTGTTAAATAAGGTATTTATTTACTGACGTCTAGTGCTGGGTAAATATGATCGCAATTCCATGAATGCAAATAAGGGGTTTTAGTAAAATATCAAACACGGAAAGTTTGTCTTCTCAAACTATTAATAATTCTTGGAGAATTCCATGCAGAAATGGCCCAAATTTTATGTTAAGTAAGATCACATTTTCAAACCTCCTTCACGCTAGTGGTTTTCTTTGTTATGTTCTCATGAATTAATGTGTTTTAGATTGCATGAACCATTTTAGTGAAACAGTTACCTGATATACTTATTTCAATAAAGTTATAGTCACCAAAAACCTAGATATCTGTAATCGCTGAGGATCATGGGAAATATTTCATATCCAACAAGTAAATGTTTTGACACAAACTGCAGCAGTTGAGGAAGCTCAGAGGAGGTGAACTCGTAACTGGTAAAAGATCTCAAGTCCATCAACAGTTATCAAGCGGTTGAAACATGTAAAATGTATCTATCCATAATCCTTGTCAGTCTCAGCTTTGTAGCTTTTCAGGTGACTAACTTTATTGAAATAAGTGTATTGCCGGGTAACGTTTCAATGAGAAAGCCCAGTCTTATCATAGGGTCCTGAACGGATAGCATGTTTACAGTTTATATCATACTACTTATATAAAAATAATTTTGATTACAATATATTACAGAGGGTCCTGAAAGGGGTTCCTGATCCCATTTCCCAGCCCCCATTTTGAGCAAATCCCATAATCCCAGCCTATGTTTTGCTCAAATCTCAATCCCATTCCCATTTTTTGACTGTTTTTGGTTTTGTTTTTGAATTCCATTCCCATTGCATAAGATCCCATTTTGCCAGCCCAAAAACGGAGAATCCCTGCTTCCATTTTACCCTTCAGGACTCTCACCCCATATACATTGTCTAATTGACTTTGGTTCTTTCTTTGTTGCAGCTGACAACGTATACTGTTGTGATGCAGGCCAATTCTGGGGAAATGATGACGTACATCAGGAATTGTCCCGACCCTTGCTTTCCTTGGTAGAAGAATACATCAAATATTACTATCTGAACTGAATGAAAAAATAAGTAAATTTAAATTCGAAAATTATGAAAAAGATAAAGCATGAAGTAGTAATCTTTCAAAAGCAGCAACAACGATAATTATTGCCTAAATTGAAGCCTTTTTCTGCACTACCATTGCCTGACCTACGGTTGAATTATATGGTAGATGTTTTCTAGCTACTAATGGCTAAAACATGTTGCAGTAAAAAATTTTGCTGCTCATTATTTATTTTTCCTCTTGGTAAATGTTCATTACAGACATTGTTGCAGCTAATTTCCACCGTTTCTCATCAGTACTTTTATGTTTTTTTTCTACCGATGGTTTTGTTACAAGAAATGTCAATATTTTATAATTCCAACTCCTACTCAAGGTTTTTTCACATTAATCATGAATATCAAATGATATAGTATTTGTAAACGTGTATATGAAGGCACTACAATTTGATAAGAAATAAAAATACGAGAAGGTAAAGACATTTTGTGGTTTTAGTTCGGCCATCACGAAAGTAGTGCTTCTTGACTTAGGGAAGTTTCATTTAATATGACGAGTAAGGTGGGCATGAAAATGCTAAGGGGGGGG